TATATAACTTTTCTTTGTATTATACTGTTCTAACGGCATTGTTTTTAATTCAATTTTTTTTATCAAGCATGAATTTTCAGTGGGGGGGCACCTGGGGGGCACAGAAAATTTGGGGGCGTGCCCCCTCCCAGGCCCCCCCGTAGCTACGCCCCTGCCGGTCGTTAGCAGCGTGTGGAACCAACGGCGTAGCCAGGATTAAATCTAAGGGGGGCGGCAATCAGTTCGAGGGAGCGTAGCGACCGAGAGGGGGTAGGGTGTGGGAGGGGGTGGCCCCGCTCCCACAGTGAGAGCTTTTTGCATTTTGATGTTGTTAATGGTGCAATTTGGTGCATGTTGTTGGCATATGTTTTATCGACTTGAAACAGTCCTGCTGGTTTAAATAAGGTAGCAGTATTTTGATGTAGATATTGTATATGTAACAAGGATATCATTTAAATAAATTTATAGTATTGATTCTTATAATGAATAAACACCGTCTGCTAAGCAATCAAAAAGAAATAGCATGAAGATGAGGTTTGCGATCACTTGCAAATTCCATTTTATACAAAAAGTCATGTAACATTACAAAGATACGTGCTGGTAACGTGTGACGTGATGACACTCGGGAGGGGGGAACACATTTTATCCATCCGAGCTCCATATGTACATACAGCCTACAGGCAAGAGGGAAAATACAGCTGTCTCAAGCCTACCGACCGGTCCCGCGTTCATCCTAACGCATTGTGTGCATAGGGTAGGGCCTACAAGGTACAGAATACCCCAAACCACACATGCAATACTTTCATCCAGAATTGAATTAATTATATTAACTATATAGGCATCTGTGAAAATCTTCTTTATTCGAACACCTCACACGGTAAGGGAGACCGGCCGAACTGAACTGATCAACTGAATCGCAGTATTACAATTCAATTCGTCTTGATTTCAGTGAAACGAATTTTTTTTTTAAACTTTATTTTCCGTTTTTTTCGCCTTCTAAATCTTAGGGGGGCGACCGCCCCCATCGCCCCCCCTGACTACGCCACTGTGTGGAACTGTCGACCGGGTACCAGTCTAAGGGGTGACATGCGTCTAAAGGTGTTGAACAATAGTAGAGGGCGTCCATAAGCGGCAAGCCTGAATAAGCATCGAACAGAAATTAATTAAAAATACTCACACTGTTACTGCGCTTTCACAACATACACTTTATTCATATTAAATAATTACAGATTCATGCTCTATGCTCCGCTTAAAACTTTTGCCAGCTCTATGATGCGAAATTCTGCAAAGTTGTCTGAACTGTAGTGAACACATTTCAAACACAAAAATGACCAACCGGTCGCTGTGGCTACGCCACCTGACGGAATAACACAACAACACGACAAGATAAATTTTACTTCAAATTGTTTTTAGACGTCCACGAGGCATCTAATACTTTTATTCAACGCTACTATTCGCTCCGACCTGTGATTGGAGGATAAAAATAGACCCCGCCCACTCCCGCCGCGTTCGCTATGCTATGACCGGTAGGAACGTGTACTAACTATCATATGGAGCGAACGATTTGAGTTACATATTTCTATAAATTCTAGCTATTATAGACACATGTCTTAGCCTTAATCTCTGTGAATTTTGAGTCTATTTTTATAACGGCTGAAAACTTGATCAAAATGTAAATAACTCGCTTCACGCAACGACCAACATGACCCAAGTTCTAAGCATCCAATTACCATCCTAAGATGGCGGCCAAATTTTCCGCCACTGACAGGCCGTTGTCCTATCCAGTGTTTATATATATCAATGTCCACGAGGCATCTAATACTTTTATTCAACGCTACTAATCGCTCCGACTTGTGATTGGAGGATAAAAATAGACCCCGCCCACTCCCGCCGCGTACGCTATGCTATGACCGGTAGGAACGTGTACTAACTATCATATGGAGCGAACGATTTGAGTTACATTTCTATAAATTCTAGCTATTATAGACACATGTCTTAGCCTTAATCTCTGTGAATTTTGAGTTTATTAAAGCGCAATTGGTTTAATTAATTAGCAAATATGCACGCGCGGCTATGACCGGTGAAACGAAACGTCCCGAATTCTATTTTTATCCTCCAAAAATGGAAAAGTAGGCGGGGTCTATTTTTATCCTCCAATCACAGGTCGGAGCAATTCCACTGTTAAGACCATAGATATACACCACATATATCTATGGTCTATGGTTTAGACGCATGTCAGGGGTGTTGATATATTTATGTTCCTCGATCTATATTTTATCCTGTCCTTAGTCTATATATATGGTTCTTCTATCTATACTGTGAGTTCAATCCATCCATTCTGATCTAGTCTACTGCTCCTGTGAGTTACACACCCCCGAAATCTCCACACTAACAGATAATGATAAGCCACCTAATATAATATAACACAATGTTATCACGTACCCGCCTAGTCCCACTCTCAGACAAGAAAAGAAAATGACATTTTTATACAGGAAATTATTACCATATATAAGAATTAGTCTGCCCACTATACATGTGAACCTGGTACAACGATTAAGTAATGAGGAGCATCTTAAAATAATTTGACTTTGTGCAACATAATTATACTCTAACAATATATAAAGCAAGAAGAAAAATAATCTAGTACTTACAGCGACACCACGCACACGCGCGCGCGCGTACACACACACGCACACGCACACATACGTGTGCGCATGCACGAACGCACATACGCACACACGCACACACATGGTCCCTGCAAAACGCTTCCGTCGTGTCCAGTACCGACACATATTTCGGTCTACAAAGAGCTTATAATATACGTGATGATCCGCCACATATTTCAGTCATGCTTAGACGGCAGATGCTTTAAGATGATGTGGTATCCAGGACGGAGGATGAGGTCATCTGACTTTGGCACGCAGGTGCTTTCGCTGACCAACTTCGGAAATAAAACGAGGTTATGCTCAATTCGCACCCCAAGATACCCGCACGCACGCACACGCACGTACTGACACATAATTAGGCGGATATTTTGGAATTTTTATTCAGTTAATTGTTTCACACGTAATAATTCCTAGCAGTTATTACCTACTTTGATTCGATTTTTAAAAGTAATATGCTTGTTAAAATAATAATAACAATAATAATAATGATAATAATAATAATAATAGCAGACTGTTTCAATTTCATATTGCTACGTCAACGAGATGCAGTACGCGCATCTTTGGTTACGGCAGTTTGACGTACATTGCCGTTACGATCCATCACCGTCACCAGCCACGAGAATCGGTGTCCCCACGGGCCAGGCTTCTTTATGACGTAGCACTGCTCTGTGACGTCATACTCAATCACAGACGTAAACGGATTCATCTGCTGTAGGCGGTAAGAACCGGACATTAGACCGCGGAAGCCGTGGACATTATACGAGTTACGAGCGTTATTCTAGGTCACAAAGAATTTGAGGCTACAATACACGTGCGCGAAAGAACACATTTATTATATGATAAATACGTTTATTCAACCTGTTGCCAACGGTTTTTCGACAATCGATCTAGTCGTCTTTGTCACCTGATTAACAGGTTAAATAAAACGATCAGAGAATCTGAAGAACTTATTCCGAGTTACACAATACAAGTTGAGACATGTGATTGTTACGCATGCCCTATGGTGGATATAGCATCAATGGTACCATGAGAGGAAACTCGTAGCTGAGAATTTGCGCAATAACGAGAGAAAACAGCGATAAATGATATGCGATGATATAGCCGTTTGCAGTATAGCTTTACGTTTGTAGTCCTTCGAAAAATGAGATCCATAGACCAATCAAACGAGCCAATTGTTTCCCATGAGCCAGCAAAATGCTAAGAGCGGGGTGGGGTAGATGCTAGGAAATCGTTCAATATTGTCAGTCAACAGCCCATGGAGCTTTTGCCGCCATACTAGTCACCAAAAAATATGGAAGCGCCTGTTTTCGCATTCCGCGCGGGCACCATTCCGGTGCAGTCCGATCTGCACGTATACTGTGAGTACGTATAACACACGTATAACGCCTGCATTACGTCACAATAGGCCGGCATGACGTCAATCATGTTTAATTATTCGTAATTGCAGTCGCGTACTCTGCGATTAAGATGTGAAGGAAATAAGTAGGGGAGACCGGGGCTAGAAGTAACAGGGGCAAGTTGTAACAGGCCTAATAATTCAAAGCCTATACAAATGGGGGCGCTCATAGTAGCCTACATGACGTAAATCCCCTTGGCATACGCCATCTTTCATACCATAAATGGTTAGCAATGTGCATAGTGTGTGTGCATTAAGGGGCAATAACCACTTTTGACATACGTAAGTAAAATATGACACTGGTGAGAAAAGCTGGTCTGCACTTCTGCTGCTGTAGGTTTTGGAATTAATTCAAATCTTGTTTGGGTACTTATGTAATGCGTGTACAAGTGATCAAGAAAAATTCGAGTTGTCTTTCATATGTAATGTACAGGAGGACATTTTGTCATACTGGGCATAGGTGGGGCCTGTTGTAACAAATTTCATGGGGCAGGTTGTAACATGTTACAACCTGCCCCGCAGCTGTTACAACTAACCCCGTCCTGTAAATGTTGTATTTTGCAACTATAGGGCTACCCCTGCCTTACTCCCAATAAATTCAAGTATATTAAATTAGACATGTAGTACGTCTACCTAAACATTCAAAAAAATAGTGTAGGCCTAATATATTACATTTACCGTGGTTCCAAATAGGCCTATAGGGCGGAGTAATTCCCATTAATCCATCCTGCTTAAGTCAAAGCCACCTCTCATTTTAGCTTAGCCTTCCCTTCTTTATCACATCTGTCATATATCTGTCTTACGTGCTCTTTTCAAAATCTCCGCCTAGAAAAATCTCTACCCGAGGGTGGAAGAAACATAAAACTGCACTATTGACCGACACACCGGAAAAGAATGCTCTTGAAGAAGAAGCAAAGGCGAGAGAGAAAAAGAAACGTAAAGCAGCAGAATCAAAATCCCCCAATAAAGCAGATAAAACGAAACCGAAAAAAAGGCAAACGAAAACGAAAGTGGCAACCAAGAAATCAGCAACAAACACTGCTACAAAGGCTCAGAAACGACTCAGATATGAAGCGTCGGATGAGGAGGAAACTTTCTGCCTCGTCTGTGACGAACCATATTCCAACAGCAGGCCTGGGGAAAACTGGGTCCAGTGTGTTGGTTGTTTAAACTGGTCACATGAAGAATGTATTGCTGCAGAGGAACCTTACCTGTGTCACAACTGTGATACCGATGAGTATGCATAGGTCATAGGTTTACTCTGATGATCAAGCCTGAGGTGGGCCCTTTATTTGGTTTTAGGTAGGCAAGCTTAGCCTGCTATTGTTGAATTAGGATTGACGTTTGAACAATAAGAGCTAGTCTGGGGAAGACAGTGCAGTTTTGTTTTAGAGCAAAGGAGGACAGAGTTTGTTATTCTCCGATCGCAGTTTAATTTAGTTCTATAGACGTTTGAACAATAGTTAGTCTGGGGAAGACGGTGAAGTTTTGTTTTAGAGCAAAGGAGGACAGAGTTTAATTGTTGTTCTCAGATCGAAGTTTAATTGAGTTCTAGACGTTTGAACAATAGTTAGTCTGGGGAAGACGGTGAAGTTTTGTTTTAGAAAAAACAGGAGGACAGAGTTAGTTGTTCTCAGATCGAAGTTTATACTATAAAGGAGGCAGTTGTTTAAAAGTTACCTCATTGTGTTTCTTAGCCATTGATTCTTTGCAGTTACATGAACTTTCAAAATCATTGGGTAGGTTAAAAAGGGTATTTTTAAACTTAAAAACGTGCATTCCTGCATGAATTTGAAGTACTTCAAAGTTAGTAAACAAAGAATTTTCCTACCCAAATAATGTTATTTGGCTACATGTTTGGGTAGGTAGGGTAAGTGCAAACGAACAATCATTAAGGGCGGCCCTATTTATGCAAGAATTACAGTAATAAAATGCTGTTACAACCTACCCCGGTGTGTTTCAACCTACCCCCGAATGTGGTACAACTTGCCCCAACATTTTCGAGAGGGGTTGGTAATTGTAACAGTCGACTTTGAGCCCATTTATCACCTAAGTGGAGAGACCTGCTAAAACTTTCATTAAGCCCAATACATCTTCGTATACCAAGCTTTCATGACAGCATGATAGATTATGAATACATCAAGATACCTAGGAGCAATGGAAGAAAATAGAAAATTCGTTATAACTAGCCCCGGTCTCCCCTACGTTTGACCGGCTTGATATAACCGCCGCTTAACCGTTTAATAGTTTAACCATAGATATATACAACACAGTTGTATATATCTATGGTTTAACATAACAACCGTTAACGCGTCATAAATAACACGTCGCGAGTAATTTGCGATCGCTAAAAAGCAAAGGAGCGATTATATCGCAAAGGGCTGTTCGCTAAGGTGGGGCATCGTAACGACACTAGCGTGTCTAGGAGAGGGCGTTTTCTGCGCCCTTTACCCAACATTGCGATGGCTTATGAGGTCCTGCCTGACTTTGCTGGCAAAATTATACGACTGCGAACTTACCACTATGGTATATGATATCGAGAACACACTGGTATTATTTCTGGAATGATTTTCTGTTACGTATGTACTCTATGTCATGAGCTACATATCGTTTATGTTTTACGCGTTGATGAGAGGAGAGTAGGTGGTCGATCGATGCGGTTATATTGTAACACTAACAGCCGAGTAAATACGAATAGGAAAATATCGAAGCACAAGTCACATGCCGTGCGATTATGTATTATTACCTTATTACAAGAACCATCACAGCAATGCATTATGGAACATATTCTTCTGTTCTACTAAAGCGCTTGCGCGCCAGATTTTACACAGTGTTCGTTAGATTTTCACCGCGCAAGTTTGCAGTGGATCCATAGTCTGTCATTGCCACGACGCAAAACACCCCTAACGCTACGATCCCGGTAACTCGATGCACTAGGCTGAATGCGGTTAATTTAGGCAATCTGGTACGCGTGATTCGATATAGCGAGTGATCGATTAGTGCCGGTAATTTCTATAGGCGGGGAAAACATTTGCGCATCGAGGGTGCCCCCCCCCCGAGTTGCCTGTTACAGGCCCAAGGTCCCGCGACGAGGGAGGAGTGGATAAATTCACATTTTGAGTAGGGAAGAGGCTATGTAAAACTCGTGTGATATACGCAGGATTATCAAACCTGAAAGTTTATAATGGCAGCTTAAGCGTTTTAGCACGCTATAACTGCTATATCTATAACTATTGATATAATATTGTTATATAGTCATATGCATAGATAGATTTTCCCTTCATTCTGCTTATTGTTTTCGTAAGTTATTGCGAGTAGCGTAGGTGCGAGGTGCAATTTTTATCAAAGATCGTTCGCATTCGAGTTGATTTTTCCCACCGGGGCGGGGGCTGAGCCTATCCGCTAAGGCGCCACCTCTGCCACCAACATATTCTCTGCATATAAGTCATAAATTATTGTAATAATACCATATGAATACAATAACATGTATTTAAATGTGACATGGTGTAATAATAACACTATGAGTCAGACAAGCAAGCTAACACGGCTTTCGGAGACATTTGTTACTGCGTAGCAGATTTGCTTCACCTGTGCGCAAGCGCAGGCTCCCGCCCCCGTGCACCCGTGTACAAACAAGCACAGCATGCGGGCGTTTCAATGAAGTCATTGGATTATCAGATGCGTTAATTATATCCTCTTACGCGCATTCTTATGCGTGAGTGCACGTCGGTACGTACCTGCATAGGTACATAGGTATCCAGCGTGAGGTGGGCGTGAGGTGGGTACAGGTGGGGGTCATCACTATGGCAATCAATAACAGACGTCATTCATTCCATTTGTCAATCATTGACGAAAACACGCGAGGTTTCCCGAAGTAATAACACTTCGAGAGACGGACGCAGTAAACAGTGATCTCGAGTCGGTTTTCGGTGAAAATACCAGATTTTCACCGCTCATTATCTCAGCGTAGGGGCATCGTAGGGACATGCGGTTTGTTTTATATGAACAAGGTAAGACAGCTAATCAATAATACTTCAAAGTTTATTATATGTCGTATAGAATAATATCCCCCGCGACAATCACCCGGACAATTACCATGGGAGCAATCTACCCCTCGCGGACTAATGACCCTCAATGCCATGTTTTACCCTCATGCATTTCACCCCTTCGAGACATTGATCACTATGCCGACATACCCCCGGACATTTTACGCCGTGGCGGACTTACCCCCGGAATTTTGACCCCCGCAATTACCCCCGACAATTACCCCGCCGGCACAATACCCCGGACATTTGACTAAGTTCTTTGTCCTA